AACTAAGAAAAAAATAATAAATATATAACTGACAAAGCTATTTTTCTTAATACACAAAGAGCTCTTTTAGATTATAAAGAAAATAATATTTAAAAGACAAAAGCTGTGAACAGATAATTCACAGACTAAAAGTCCAGTAACATTTCCAAATGATTAAACCTTATACCATGGAGGCCGTGGTAGTTCAGTGGTAGAATTTTCACTTTCCGTGCAGGAGACCTGAGTTCAAGTCCCAGCCAATGTACCTCATGCACAACCACCATCCGTCTGCGGAGGCTTCTGTGTTGCTGTGATGCTGAACAGGTTTCAGCAGAGCTTCCAGATTAAGACAAAATAGGAAGAAAGGCTGGACACCTACTGAAAATAAGCCAATGAAAACTATAGGGGCACAATGGTCCAATTCCCAGCTGATTGTAAGGATGGCATAGGACCAGACAGTGCTTCATCTTTTTGCTCATGGGGTTGCCATGAGTCAGGGGACAACTCAAGATCAGCTAACAACAAGAACAACAACCTTGCACAAATTAAAGAAACCAGGTTAAAAAACGAAACACCACTTTGACCCATCAGTTTGGCAAAGAGCAGTTGCTAGATAAACAGGGACACTGGTGAGGGTGAAGCACGCCTGTTGGCTGGAGTGGAAATAGGTGAGAGCTTTGAGGAAGATAATTTGGCAATATCTTCCAAACTAAACACACACCCCACTTCTGAACCTGTACTTCGAACCCTTGGAAGGGTTCTGTGATGGTCTCCCCATTACATATGTTTATTACATAAGTGTATCTACAGATATGCAAGACATTTTTCATAGTAGTTACTTTTGGGGTATTGAGAAGAAGACAAAGACTTTCATTTTTTATCTTATCCACTTTTGTACTGTTTGAACTTTTCATCAGGTGTTTATATTTTACTATTTTTAAGCAATTAAGATTGTTTTCCAGAGACAAAGGCATGCTTAGCCATAAGAATAAGTCCCACAGTTATCACTCAAATATTTTGTTTTAAGAAAGAACCATCAACGAGCAAGTGCAATACAAGATGGCTTCTTAATAGTTGCCTCAAATGCTAACTAATTGCTCAACAGAATGTCCTTCTAGACCTTACTGTGTCCTTTACCAGGTGGCTTTGTAGTTCCTTAAGAAATCTGTTACTAGTTATGTTGATTTCCTACCCTGTCCAATCTGACTGTCCTATACCTGTGGGTGCATTCCTCCTTTGTGCCTCCCTCCCTCACCAATTGCATGCTCACACACATTCTGTGATGGGCTTCTGGAATGTCCCAGATGTTTACCATAGTTCTTGAGCCAGAAGTAGTAGGTAGGTTTGGAGGGGTTGAGAAGAACTAGGACAGTGAATTGCACAAAAGCAAAGGAATAATAATAACAACAGAGACAACAGCAAGGATAATTTTAAAAAATTAACAGCTGTCATTCATTGATGACTTACTATATGCCCATATAATGCCTATGTGATGCGTTCAAACTGTGGTGTTAGTGAAGAATATTGACTGCCAGAGGAACGAACAAATCAATCTTAGAAAAAAATACAACCAGAATGCTCTTTAGAGCAAAGATGATGAGACACCTAGCTCATTTAATTTGGACATGTCATTAGGAAAGACCAATGACTGAAAAAAAAAAAAAAAATGACATCGCGGCTGATAAAGTAGAACTCCGTGAAAATGAGGGAAACCCTCAATAAGATGGATTGACACAATATCCATAACAATGGACTCAAACATGCCAATTATCATGAAGATGGAACAGGACCAGGTAACGTTTCTCATGGATTGCCATGAGTCTTAGTCAATTAGATGAATACACCCATATCTTCACATACAACATTTCCTGTATCTCATGTAAGCCTCAGCAGTGCTTGGAGAAATTCATGTTATTTGCTTCAATGTATAGGCGAGGTAACATGCTCAGTGAGGCCTGTGATATGCCCATAGCCACACAGGTAGAGAAGCAGCTGAATTGTTCAAAATGAGGTCTGCTCACCTGATACAAAGGTGAGCACTACTGTCTATGAACCTCTCAGGATGGCATGGTGGTGGGCACTAGGAGAGGGTCAGTCTATGGCCCCAAGGATCACCTCCAGGAGTCAAGTGCTGGGCCTGCCTCAGAGTTTCTGGCCTCTGGAAGGACTATAGTCCTTGGCTATGGTGGTGATGGTTATGTGTGCTTGTAGAGGGGGAGGCAGGAAGGAGGGGTGCAGAGGAATGTCTCTTCCAGAGGAGTCTGTCAGGAAAGCAAGGGATGACATTCCTTTCTGGGAGTGGAGTTATTAACCTTTCTTTATTATTTGTGGTTTCTCTTTGATCTGTCAGAAAATACTGAAAACTACTGCCCTTGATGGAGCTGTGCCTCTCACAGTGAATCCAACTGCTGGGCTGACCCTGAATGGAAACTAACCAGAGGGAACCCCTCCCCCTCACAAGACAGCATCCCCACTCAATCCCCCATGGCAGTTGTGGCAGCCGATTCAGTGCCTCAAGCACATTGTGAGCCTCAGAGTGCTGATGTAGGCAGTTCCTCTTTGATTTCCCTTTTCATCCCTCATGACAACCACCACATAGCTTTTCCTGGAATCTGGCTGAGGTCCCACTACCAGGGAAAGCTCTGAACTGGAGTGTCTGGAAAAGTTACCATGGCCACGACAGGACAGAGTCACCTCAGATGGGGTTGGGGTTGGCTTAATTAACAGGCAACTGTTTATAGTTGTGGGGAGATTCCAGACACCTGAGAAGGAACGGGAAAATACCCTAGACTCTCCTGAAGAGGAAGGTTGACATCCCTGGAGCTGATCCCAGTGGCTTTTCTTGGACAGGTTTCTACCATGTCCCTTGCCATTACTGATTTTGCTTTTTATCAGTCAGAGAAGCAGCCCTCACCCTGGGTGTGTGGAACTTGAGTGTGGGCTTTGGTCAGTGTTTTCTGGGAACCTAGATGGAAAGTATCTAGTACTTCTTGAGTGTGCTACAGGTGCTTGAAGCATGTTATCTAATTTTTTTCCCTTAGAACAATCCCATGAGGTTCAGTGTACAGGCCAGATTACTAATGAGTTCCATTCCTAAATCTGTCTTTAATTCGAATTTGTACATAAATTGAAACATTTAGGTGTGGTTCTAAAGGCAGTTAGTCAAATGTTGTTGTTATGTGCCATCGAGTCAGTCCCAACTCATAGCGACCCCTCCTTGGGTTTCTGAGGCAGTATCGCTATGGAAGTAGATTGCCCAATCTTCCTTCCGAGGAGTGGCTGGTGGGTTCAAGCTGCCAGCCTTCTGGTTAGCAGTCAAGTATAGTATATCTTTCTGTGCATTAAAAAGTTAGTGAAACACTTTTCAAAACATTAAAATATTTAACATAATAGTACAGTACTAATAGTAATGTTTTGATGTGCATCACAAAGTAGCATTTATTTGTTATTACCTTGAATTTTTAACATGATAGGCTTTATGGAGTTGTATATAAGTTCTAAGTTGGATGTTTGTAACTTGGGGACTACCTGTAGCCATTTTAGAGATGAGGCAGCTGAAACTCTGAGGCTCAGGAACCAGTCCAAGGTGCCACAGCTAAAAAGTGATGGGCCACTAATTTAGGTTATATGGGCTCCAGAGCCAGTCTCTATATCACACCACCAGACCACGCTGCCTGTGTGGAGATAAGTCCCCATGGAATCTTTGTCCTCATCTGGAATGGTCAGGGTTGTCTGTTGGATGATGCCTACCTTGAGTTTCCCCTTTGATTTCTAGTGATTATAGGTGGTGGTCTCTGTGGGCAGAGTTAGAGGTGCTGAGGTGACCAGGATACAGAATAATCCCTTGGTTCATTTAGTCAAATCTTTCCCCTGACCCTCCACATCCATTCTGCTTTGCTTCAGTGACAGTCTCCCATCCGGAAAGGGGAATTAGTGTTGCCCAACATGCCAATAAGTGAATATCCCAGAAGATTACCTTATATTCTTAGAGATGGTGTACAGCAAGGTAGCAGAAGACAGGGTGAGATATTACCAGTTAAGGAGGCTGCTGTGGGGTTGGGTCCACCTCCTTCCCAGACCTTGACTGACCCACTAGTCCATTGCCCTGACTCTGGCATTCCACCTTCTTCACCACTTTCATTCTATGCCATACAATGTAGCACTTGCCTATATTTTTGTCTGGTATCTGGGTGTTTCCTGTCTGCACCACTGGTTTCCAGGAGCGAAGGAACACTGCCTTCCTAATGTGCCTTTCCTTGTGACACATGAAGATCTTGACCCATTTGTGTCTATGGCATTTTTTGGAGTCTCACTCTTCCTTCCCCTTTGGCTTGGTGGCTGGTTTGAATGGACCTGCTGAGAGGCCTCTTCTACACACACTTGAGTCAGCATTCTTTCATATTCCAATAAACCTGAAATATTTTTGCAGATCACCTGCTTTATTTGTTTGCTAGGCCTCTTCATTTATACCCAGTCGGACCCCATTCCATTACATCATGCAACCCTCTCACCCTACCTAAGGACACTGCCATCATAGTATGCAAACATTAAAAGGAAATTTTGTACAGTGATTACAATTTGGCAGAAGGCCCAGAGGCCCACAGGCCTGGATCAATGTGCTGGGTTTTCTAGGAGTAGAGAGCACGTATTTGAAGCGTGGAAGCCAAGTGTAGAGGTGTAGGGCTTATTGCGCCCTGAGAGCTCCACAGGTGCTTGCTGGGTGCCCTTAGGAAATAACCCCTGTGAGAGGTGAACATCACATCATTGGAGAAACCTTCAGGGTAAAACTGCCTACTTGTTGACCTACATTATAAAGAAACATAAAAGTGCTTAGCATTACAAATATTCAGACAATAGATACATGTGTGTAGGAAAAAAATTAAACTCTCCCCCACTTCTTGTCACCCAGAGTTGACCCTTCTCCATGGAGGAAGTCATAGGTTTTGTCTCAGTCTCTGTGAAATGGCTTGATCTTAATTGTTTTTCTGAAGTTAATAATGGTTCTCCCTTTTTTTCTGTAGAACATGGAGAGTTCCTGGCCCTGGACCTTGGAGGAACCAACTTCCGTGTGCTGTGGGTGAGAGTAACAGACAATGGCCTCCAGAAGGTGGAGATGGAGAACCAGATCTATGCCATCCCTGAGGACCTTATGCGGGGCAGCGGCACCCAGGTACTACCCTTCTCTTGGGGTGGCCCCTGGGACTTTAGCTCCCCTGGACAGGTGCTGCTTCTCTGTGGTCTTGAGGCAGGAGCCCTGGCTCAGGCTGTGATTTCCTGTGTTTCTACACCTGGCCCCTCTGCCTGGTGATCCCCTTCCACACCTAGAGCCTTGGTGGGGGGCTTCAGTCAGGAGAGGGTGCATGGACTGAAAAGCAGGGAATATATGCATCAAGCCCTGTGAGGCAGGGGCATTTTGATCTGCCATCTCTATTGAGTTCTGCTTCATACACTGGTCATTCAGGAAAAGCTAGGTGCCAGGAGACTGGCCCACTCTCCTGGACACCTGCAGTTGTTAGTGGTCCTATTGAATGTTGAGACAATAGGATACACAAATGTGGTTTGAACTCCTGTGAGTGATGCTTCCACCTGCCCCTGCGGCTGCTTTGCAGCCCTCTGGCTCACTGTTTCACCACATCATTACATGAAAATTGAACCTGTTCCATTGCCTTTCTGTTTACTTGCTCTCTCCCTTCCTGACCAACTTAGACAGATTAAATTTCACCCACAAGGACAGGGAGTCTTTTGAGAAAACACTGAAACCCAGCTTTGGGGTGTCTGCCCCTCCCGGTACTGCAGTGAGCACCGTGTACTTCAACAGTGGCCCCGAATCATAAGATCAACAAGGATCATTCTTAATCATCCCCATATCTCGGTGGCTTCTACAGCCATGTTTTGCACCCAATATATACTTAATAAAAGGAGTGAAAGAAATGTGAAACCTAAGTAAGAATCCTCTCACTAATAGCCATAAAAATGAACAATGATGGAATTACCATCAAGATCATCTCTAGGCTGCTAATAAGTAATTACTATGCATTGGGGTCTAATTTCTGCTGGGAATCAAAGTCATCCTTCTTCCTTTGAAGGACATAAAGCCCATTTGGACAACCAGGAAATACACACATAGACACACACACACACACACCCCACAGAGAGTAAATGTTGTGTTAAAGAGGATACATGACCATCAAGAGATTACCAAGGGGAGCTGACATTTGATGATGCCTACTGTGTGGCCAGCACTGAGCAAAAGTGCTTTGGATGTATTTTCTCATTTCAGTGTCACACTAGCCCCATCATGTTGGGTGCTACTGTTCTCTACACTTTATAGCAGCTGCAGAAACTGGCTTACATTAAGTAGCTTGCAGGGGTGGGAAGGGCCAGAGATATACACACAGCTGGATCACTATGGCCAAAACCTGTGCTTGCGCAGCTCTAGGGGCCTCCATCCACTTTGTAGTCCATGGGAGTGGTGTTCCTTGGAGTTATGCAACATGGTGGTCCTGGGTCCTGGCTATCTGCCCCTGCTTCCAGAGTAGGAGTTACTCCCCAAAGTGGCTGGTGCTCCTGCGGACATGATTGCTGTAGGGTAGGCTCATTGGGGGCACGCTCCCTCTAATGAGATCCCCCAGGAGAGCCCTTCTACAGAGGGGAACTCATTCCCTCAGCACCAGAAACATCTGATCCATTGCTGGGTGGTGACCATGGATCTGGCTACTATTCCCTACTCTCGATTATCCAGGGAACTGGTCTCCCCTTTCACTTGCTTTATAAAAAAGCTTCCTTAAGGAGCATTCTTGCTGCACCTTCTATACTTATGGCACAAAGATGTTATTGTTGTTGTTATGTGCCGTCAAGTCAGACCCAACTCAGTGACCCCTCCTTGGGTTTCCAGGGCGGTATCACTATAGAAGTAGATTGGCCAACCTTCCTTCCGAGGAGTGGCTGGTGGGTTTGAACCACCAGCCTTCTGGTTAGCAGTCAAGTGCCTTAGGCACTATACTACCAGAGCTCCTAAACAAAGATGAGTAAGATAAAATCTGACCATCCAGCTGCTCACTGTCGATGGACAGGCAGTCATTGAAGCCATTCTGAGGAGTTTCTACTTGAGCTCTGGCTAGAGAAGTCCTGGTGGCTCAGTTAAACACTCATCTGCTAACTGAAGGGTTGATGGTTTGAACCCACTAGCTGCTCCACAGGAGAAAGATGTTGCAGTCTACTTTGGTAAAGATTTGCAGCCTTGGAAACTGTTAGGGATTGAATTGCCTCCCCACCCCCCAATGTGTTTTAATTCCTAACCTGTATGCCTGTGGCCCACTCATCTCTAAGTTTGTGTACTATGGTGGCTTGTGTGTTGCTGTGATGCTAGAAGCCATGCCACCAGAATTTCAAATAGCAGCAGGTTCACTCATGATGGACAGGTTTCAGCAGAACTTGCAGACTAAGAAGGAGCTGGTGATCTACTTCTTAAAAAAAA